AGCGCCTGAGCCGCCCGGGACCCGCCTTCCCGCCGGAAAGCCCGCACGCGCTGCGGCCGGGGAGGTGCGGAGGCCCGAGAGGCCAGAGAGCCGGGCGAAGAGAGGTCCCTGCAGGAGCGCACGGGCGCACGGGTCTCGCCCGAGGACGTGGATGAGCTTGGGCGGATGGAGGAGGCAGCGGGAGCCGGAGATTCAGGGGTGGAACCGGGTCGCGTCTGCTTCTGGTTCGCTGGCAATGTTCTCGGTGGATAAGGGTTGTGCCCCCTTAGGACTATATAGATTATTACATTCCCGGCCCAGTCCTCCAAGGGCCTTATGGAAACTAACATCAGTAACCTAACCCGCGACTATCCCGCGCCCTTGCCACCCACCTCCCTTCACGCCTGGTTCCTGGCGCTTTGGGGCAAGCCCAGGCTACGGAGGCCTTTTGCTCAAAACGCACAAGTGTAAGGGAAGGGGAAGTCAGATGCCGGTGACTGTGTGTACAGGGCACTGTTCTGAACATCCGGGAATCATTGTGAAGGCAGCGCCTCTGGGCACCTGGTACCTGGGTACCTACCAGTTGATGCGGGAGGAGCTCAAGCGCATTCTTTTGCCCCCTGACCTGGGCCCTAGCGAGAACAAAGGATCCCAGCCCCGGCTTGGCCTCCTCCCAAAGCCTCCGTCAGAGAGAGGCATGCTAAGCGTTCCTTCTGTCTCTATTCCTAGAGAGAGGGATTCTCACTCACTCCCCTAGCCGAGAAAGCTAGATCACGTGAAGAACTGTTTTTAGCCCTCACACCTGTGCCTTCTGCCTGGCTTCCTTACACAACAAGCCTTTCAAACAATCATAATCCCCCTTGAAAGGCTGTGGGCTCCCTCCAGCTGTGAGAGAATAAGGTTTGACTTTCTAGAGAAATGAAGGGGTGAGGGGGGAGGCTCATTGCTCCCTTGGCTCCCCCCTCTACCTGCCCTGCTCCCAGATACTCAGATCCCAAGGGACTGGAGAAGGGCAGACTCCCTAACCACACAGCATCTGAATACAGGGAGGTAGGGCCACTGTGTGGCCAGGCCAGGCCCATGCCCCAGCCTATGGACCACTTTGTAGGAGAGACAATAATCTGCTGTGTGAGGAGAGAGGGCAATTGAAAAGCTGGAAGAGGAGACCTTCTGAGTCTTCTGACCTCTGTTTTCTGATGCCTCTAGGGGTCCTTGCATCCCAGGCCCCTCCCTCAACCTCCTAAGCTCCAGTTCTGACGCTCCACCATCCCACAGAGCAATTCCTAAGGCCCCTGTCTCCACCCTTCACCCTGGGGCAAGTTTTGTCCCAGCCCCAAGGGCAAAAGCATCTGTAGTTGGCTCCTCCCCCTCTGCAGGCCAGCGTGCCTGTGGCTCCTTTGAGCCTGCATGCTTTTGCAGCTCCCCTTAGTTGTCCCGAACTGCTCCCCTAACCTTCCCAGGTGCCTCATGCAGAGATAATAGGTGCAGGGTAAGTTGCTCAGGCAGGTGTGAGATGCAGGACTCAGAGAAGGGGAAGATGCTGGTCAGCCTTGAGAGACAGGGATGAAGGTTAGGGTGGGATGAGATGAGAGTCTGCTGATGCTGAATCCCTGAGGGCCCAGGCCCAGCTTCCCTGGCTGAAGCCAAATTTACCTTGTGTGGGGTTGGGGAGGTTGGGGGAGTGAGGAAGTGGATTTTGTTTCTCTTGTATTTTGTTTGGATCTTCATCTTTGTATTACTAGCATCTAGCAGCGTGCCTAGCACATACTGGATGCTCAATAAACTTTTGATGAAATGAAATGACATCTTTCTTCCACTTAAGCAAGGAGAACAAAACAAACTTAAAAACATCAGTCATTTCCCTTTTTCCTTCTCATCTTCCTTCACCATCCTTCATCCTCTTTGAAAACCCCAAATTGTCCATTCCAAAATCATTCACCGACATTCATCCATTCAGGTATGCTTTCATTGATTCATAAACATTTGTTACTGTACCATGGCCCAGGCCCTGTGATGGACACTGAGGAAACAGCAGTGTCAGGGTTGCCGAAGGAGGAATGCACAAGGCCAAAGTGGCAAGGGATTAGAAATTTATTTGGTCATCTGGATACCGGATGGGCTAGCCCCCAAATGGCACCAGCACCCAGGGGCAGGGAGTCAGAGATTTTAAAGGACTCTAGGCGGGCTTTTTCTGGGCGGAGAATTCTTTGGGCAGGTCGGGATTCTGGGAAAGTCCAGAGATAATGGTCTTAGCAAATGGAATGTGGTCTAAGGGAAAGGAAATGTCCCTTGTGAAGTGGCCTAAAGGTCAATTTCCAGGGACAGGTGTTGATTCAATTATTTGATCAAACCTGACAAGCATAACTATGCCAGGACTCCTACCCAGAAGCCTCATGGAGGAAGACAGATGGGTAAACAGATTGTTACAATACAGTATGGAAGATGCAACGATAGAGGCAGATACAGGGTGCTCTGCGAGCATATAGGAGTGTTCTCTAACCCAGATTAAAGTATCTTGGAGAATAGGCCTGAATTTCGTGTTAGGAAGATTAGTTAATCAGGTGGAGGAGAAGGAAAAAAGGATGAAAGAACACATATTGGAGGCAGAAGGAGCAGCATGTATGAAATCTTGGCAGTGTAACATGAGTCCAGACTACCTAGTCCCCATAAAATGTGGATTGCCCAGGGTTAAATGTTTACATAGCCCTGTAATGGAAACTAGACTTGGACAAGTGACAAGGTGGGGGAGCTGGACCTGAGATGTCCGTATTAAGTTGGTGTCCTGGGAAGGCCCCCAGTTGGTAGTATCCCAGGCTTCAACAATAAAAATTTAGCCCTGGCTGGTGTTGTGCAGTAGGTTGGGCGTCATCCTGGTTGGGGGCTCAATACCTGGTGGGGGACATGCAAGGCAGCCAATCTGTGTTTCTCTCTCACATCGATGTTTCTCTCCCTCTCCCTTTCTCTCTTTCTAAAAATCAATTTTAAAATATTTCAAAAACACGCATAAAATAAAATTGCAAATCCTCTCTAGAGAAAAGCACCTCCTAAAATTGTCAGAGATTAAGACCAACCAAAGATGAATTAAAATGAAAGGAC